CAAGTGGCTAAAAAAAGTTGGGAGCACATTTGTTGGGTTCCTCCAACAGTTTCCAAAACCTTGCTGCTATGCATTCCTTTGTTTTTCATATATTTTGTTGTCGCTTGTCTTTGGATATTCCTTTCTTGTTTGGAACTGTTCTTCAGTGGCTGTGATGTCAAATGCCCCAGCCCCATAGAGCTTTTACTCTTTAGCATGCTGAATTGTTACCTTTGGTATTTTGCTCAATATGCTGCTAAACTTGGATGGCTTGTTCCATATACAAGTAACCAGTTTGCAACTTGGATGGCTTGTTCCATATACAAGCAACCAGTAGTAGTAGTAGTAGTATATATATATATATCCAAATGAACAATTGTACTCAAAAGTTCATTTAGAGGGGGAAGAAGGGGGCCCATGTTTCTTCTGCGAGTATTGTGTTCATACTGGGGCAAATCTGAGCCATTCAACGTGACATTACTCTTTCTGTTCTGTCATATACTTTCGTCCGCATATCTTCACTACTGATGGATGGATGGAACATGAATACTTCTCCTGATGTGCTGCAGTGGTGATCTCCTTCCCCTGCAGTTGCCTCTGGGACATTTTACTTTGGTCTTGCCGCTGTTGCAGCTAATCTGCTCTCTGAGTCGGTTCATACTTTTATTCTGTCTTGTACAGATAAATTGGAAGTGGTTTTACCAAACTGTTGGGGATGCTCTTACATCAGGACGGGTAAAATGTGCAGCAAGAGAGGGTAGGGCTTGGTTTCTATGATTGAGCAAAGGTGACGCTGAGCCCAATTTTTATTTTCCTTTCTGTCTTTGCAACTATTCTCTGCTTCAAAATTCTCCAATCAAGAAAAATTGCTTGCTGATGTCAGAACTTGGCATTAGGGGCATGCTGATGTTGAAATTGAAGTTGCCTTACCATGTGGCAGGAGCACCAAAATAGAAGAATGATTTCCTTATTCTAAGATTTATTTTGGTTGTCAATCAAATCCAAATCTTTCTTCCACACATTCAGTTAGTCGTCAATTAGAGTGTTGTGTGGTGTCCTGCTATGGGCCGCTTTTGGACGTTGGATTTTTCCTGAATCCTGTGTTTTTCCTGTGAAATTGGACTGATTCCTGTCAGGTCTCCTTTGGGATGCAAGAATTTGACATGAATCGTACAGGAATTTTGCAGGGATCAGCTCATTTTTCACAGGAGAAACGTAGTTTTTTCAGGAAAAAATCCCTCATTCCAAAGGAGGCCTGAAATTCCTGTAAGATTCTTGTGAAATTCCTATGTTCCAAAGAGGTCCTATATCAGTCTGATAATGCAAGCAAGCTGAGAGTACTTCTCAATATAATAAGGAAAGAAAAATCAATCTTCATCTGGATTGGTCTCTGACTTCCAACTGTGTCCCTCTTGGACACGAGCTTCCTGGTGCCATCCTTCCTGCTCCATGTTGGCTTTTATGAAGCAAGCAGCTGGGGATGCTTGCAGCAGCAGAGGATTGGGAACCATGGAGTGGGTTTGCTGTGGCTTCTGGTTGGGGTTTGATTAGGCAACATGGGACCTACCTTGTGATTGGTGGATATTTTTATTGTTTGACTGTAATTTTATATCCTCCTTTGCCTGCCTGCCTGCCTCCCACCCTCCCTCCCTTCCTTGTGTGTATGCACGCTTGTGCGATTTTTCACATGCATGCATGCCCTTAAGGATTTGAGGATGCAATGTGTAAATGGGGCTGGATAGACAGTCCTGTTTGGCAAAAGCTCTAGTTCTGTGAATATTTTTTGGAGCCGGTCATCTAGCTCCAGAACTACTTTTACTATGATGCTGGTCATGTTTGTGAAAGCTTCTCTATGCGTGTGCTATTCACATGTGAGCAGGCCATTTCTTTCTATGTGCTGTTCATGTGCGTATCAGTCGATTTTCCCATGATTGGAGAGGCCTTTCTTTCAATCCTGCCAAAATACCAAGATTGGGACTGGGTTTTGGGAACTATTGGAGATGCTCTGATTGGGAGTAGTGGTCATCCTCATATTTTCGCTATTAATGGATGGTTGGAACATGAATACTTCTCCTGATGTGCTGCAGTGGTGATCTCCTTCCCATGCAATTGCCCCTGGGACATTTTACTTTGGTCTTGCCGCTGTTGCAGCTAATCCGCTCTTTGAGTCCGTTCATACTTTTATTCTGTCTTGTATTTTGTACTTGTGTGCTTTTATCTACTTGTTCTTTTGCATGTCCTGTTGCTGCTCTACCGTGATCTAAGGCTATTCATCTTCACGTGCCTTCCTGCTGGATTTGATCCTGGTACTGGGTCAATGTTTGTGGGACATTTATGTCAATGCCCATCAAGAACGAAGCCATAAAATTCCAATGTGGGGCAATGATCAACAACCATGGCTGACATAAGCAGTTTTGAGCAACCAAGGCTGCTATGGCCTATGGGTACCAAACTGGAATCCTCCCTTTCCTCTCTTAGAAACCTTTTCAATTATGTTCTATGATAGTGGCTTTGTCCTTGGATGGTCATGCCATTCCTTGTTTGATAACCAGGACAGCGCCGCTTATCGTACCAGGAAAAGTTGATCTGGTGATAAGAGAAGGTGGGGATATGGTTAAATGATTGAGCAAAGGCGAAGCTGAGCCCCCCTCTCAGAAAAGGGAAGAAGAAAACACAGTTTTATGTTGTCTCTTCATTTTTTTTTTGTTGAATATGTTGTTTCATTGTGTTTCTTTATCTAACCTACATATTTTCTGACTTCATTTCTTTTGCTGCATTTGTCTAACTCCAATCATTTACCTTTGGATTCTGTTCTTAGTAGGTTGAGATGTTTCCTAGTTTTAGATGTTGATTCTGCTATATTTGTTTGCAATGGCCTTGTTTTGCTTGTGCTTTAGTGATCATCTATTGCTTATGAAGAGGAAGTTGTTCCTTGAATGAAATGACCCATCAAATGCCATAGATGTTTTAGAAAATCTGAACTCAATAAAATGAGCATTTGTTTGTTTCTGCAATTGAAACATATCTGATGTAGCAGCTCTAATTTATGTTCAGAGTGATTTTGCAGTTCAAATTTCAGCTCTAATTTGTTTGTTTCTGTAATTGAAACATATCTGATTTATGCAGAGTTTTCAAATAATTTGTAGCATCTTTAGTTAGTCGGTACATAGGGCTGGACAAAATACCCGCGGCTCGCCAACTCGCTCGACTTGTGGCCGGCTCGGCTCGGCTCGACTCGGCTCGTTTTAACTTTTTCACGAGTTGAGTTGGAAGTCTAGCTCGCTATTTTAACGAGTCAACTCGAGCCAGCTCGCGAGCTGCTCACGAGCTGAAACGAGCTGAGGCCTATCAGCCTACGACCATGAATCCAAAAGATGATGCTGACCTAGAAGTTTACACTTATTCTATTGGTATGTAATCTTTATTTTCAATTGTTGTGGTACTTAAATGTTGATTGTATGGATTCTTTTCCAGGGAGAAGATGATGATGTTGACATTGAATCTGTGGACTTTCCTAAGTTTGTGGTGGCAAGCAACTGGTTAGTATGCTGGAACTGCATGATCATGGATGGATCAACTATGTTGCATGGTTGATACTTTTGATGAACCTGATATGTATTAATCATGTATGGTTGCATAATAGTGAACGTCACCTTCTGGAATTAATGTAGCATAAACATTATAAACATGTATGCCCTATTTTTTTTTGTTGTTGTAGTCGCTCGCTCGCTAAACGAGCCAGCTCGAGCTCGATAACGAGCCGAGTTGAGCTGCCCCTCTAGCTCGTAATATTAACGAGCTGGACCGAGCCAGCTCGAGCCCGGCTCGATATCCAGCCCTATCGGTACATGTAAATTTCACTGGTTCAGTTGTTTCAGTGTTTCTGACAAATCTGGTGGCCTGGTTTTTTGGAGTGCCTTTTATAAATCATTTGCTACATCATTGTCGGTGTCGGTGGGAAACTGAACCATAGCCGCATTTAGAGATTCATGGCAATTGTATCGTTAAAGTTTATTCTTTTATGAAAAGGCTTGTAGCAGACTAGCAGTAACAGAGTTTGGAGTTCGGCACCATAAATATGCGTATATTTTGAAATGAGTAAAGTGCACCAGCGGTCCCTAAACTTGTACCGATGTGTCATCCCTATTTTTAAACTCGTAAATTGACCGTTTAGGTCCTTAAATTTGTTCATCTGTGTCATTTCAGTCTCTAAACTTGTTCGGCTTTATCATCCCGCTCTCTAAACTTGTAAATCACCTGTTTAGCTCCTCAAACTTGATTAGTTGTGTCATCTCGGTTCCTAAACTTGGTTTTGAGTGCCATCTGGGTCAAAACAGGGTGATTTAAAAACTTTATATAAAAAATTACTCGACGTGATCTACGACTTTGTAGTTTGAAAAGTTTTTGAATTAAAACTGTTTAAGGTCCCAAAATATTATTATATATTTATAGATTTTGAAATCTGAAATTTAAAATTAAATTTAAGGACACTAAATGACTTCAAACAAAAAAACTTTTCAACTACAAAGTTGTAGATCGTATTAAGAACTATAACTTTCATATATACCATATCAATATCCAAGATTGTTCTAGAAGAGAATTTCGTTTTTCTTCTTCTAAAATCCAAACTCACGGAATGGCATTGTACATATTTCATAATAATAAGGGCCTGTTTGGAATGTAGGTTTTTTTTTTCTTATTTCTGCGTTTTTCCTTGAAATTGAACGGATTCATATGAAATTCCTATGTAATGCTGTGAAATTCCTACGTTCCGGCCCTGCACGAGCCAAACCCGGCAAAACAGCAAAATCCACCTTCCGTAATGGCAGAATTCCCATTTTCTCGATCTCAACCCCGCATAAAACCTCGCCGTCTCCGACCAGATCACCACTCACTCGTTAGTTTAAGTGTGAGGCCACCGCGTGTGGGCAGCGGCGGCGGCGGCGCATGCGAGGCGAGCGCTCTAGGGCTATCCCTCAGAGTCTGTCATTCCTTCCGCTTGTTCCCGCTCGCGGCGGCCGATGACCACAGCAGTGAAATCCACAGCCCTTGGAACAAAAGCGGCGATGAGGAAGGGCGCCGCGGTTGGCGCCGGCACGGCTCCCGACCGGCGGCCGTCCTCGGATGCGCGCCTACCCGGGGCCACTCTGGTCCCCGCCCCGCTGCGCCGCGTCGGATTGCGGACCCTTGGGCGGGCAACGGTGCTGCGGCGGCGGGGGCTGGGGTTGGGGACCGTGGGGGCGGGGTCCGCGGCGGTTCTGGTCGGAGCCGTGGTCGGGCAACGCGGGATCTGAGCCGCCATGGATGGACTTTTCTCGAGCCTTTGGTTGTGAATGTTTCGTTTTGGTACGCTCTCTGTCTCTCTTCCCCACGTCCTTCCACCTCCAGATTGGCAGATTGATAGGCTTGCGTATATTTCTGCGCGATTTGATCGATTTTACCAAGCACGGAAAGATTGGGAGTTGAGATAGGGAGTTGGTTTTCTTCTCCCGTTCGCTCCGGGTGCTCTCTCCCTCTCCTCTCTCTCTCTCGTGGTGACGACTGGGAGACCACTGCCACCATATGTGAGGTGCCCAGGTCTTCGTTAGGCCCTTCGCCAGGTCCTAACCAGGCACTTCGCTGGCGGGGCTCGGAGGTGAGGAAGAAAGGGTCAGCTTGGATTGCTCGGCTGCTGGGTGCTAAAGAGCGCACACAGACTGCTCCACTGCTCGGCTACTGGTGCTGTAAAGGATGTGCCGGCTGCTGGTGCGCTGGCTGTCATGTACGAACCCCTGCACCCGCATCCTTCTTCCTAGACGTGCTGCGGTACCACAAAATCCGGCTGGCCCACCTCACGCCCAACTCCATCGTCATCCTCTCCGTCTTCGCCCACCTCTGCGTGAAGTGGCTGGGGGTGCCGCCCTCGCTCGATCTGTTCCGTTCATATTACGTTTGCCCCTGCTCGCCGGGTCGAAGGTAATAGGCAGCTGCTTTTTCCGGCTTAGTGAAACCAAGTCTACCACAGAGTTCATCCACAGACCGTGGCGCGGATGGTTTAAAGGATGGAACGATGAGTGGTTGTACATCGAGGACGGCGGCCTCGAGGAGACGCCCGTCCCGACCACGCATGGTGTGAGCTGACCGTCGTGGAATGCACCGTCCCCGACACCCTTGAGCTGGACTCGCTCCGGGAGCGTGTGGCGAAGCTCCAGTGACGTGGGCTCACCGGGGCCAAGGTGATGCTCGATGCCATCAAGCGCCAGCTGGCGCCACTCTGAAAGGACATGGAGATTTTCCCTGGAGTGGAGGTAAACATGAGTGCCCTTGCGCGTTGATATTGATATGGTGCTCCCACACCCATAACTTTTTGCATGCAAAAGCCGGCCTCTTGGACTAGACCCAAATCAGGGCTTGATGTGGCTTCTGAGTCGGGTTTGGCCTGCTGCGCTGCTCTGATTCGCTACTCCTGAAGGATGAATGGATGGATGATGGATCATGAACACTACCCCTGCGGTGCCCTGATGCGCTGCAGTGGTGTTCTCCTTCCCTGTTTCCTGTGGCATATTTAACTTTTGTCATCCTCTCTCCTTCACCCCTGCCTTTTCTTCTTTGCCTTCACCCCGCGAGCTCTCTCCCTCTCTCTCTCCCTCTCTCTGTGCGACAACTGGGCGACCGCCGCTGCCACCAGGGGCGGACCAGTAAATGGATGAGTTGCTCATTTTGTTCTAAAGAATGATTTGATTTCTTTTCCACACTCTTATTTAACTACTTTCATTCTTCCACCATACTTATAAGTGCTTCCCTAATGCATCCTTACTTCTGTGGCATGAGGCATTGGCTTGGAAATCCCTTTGGGCAACCAGCGTTTGCGTTACTGGTCCTAATCATGTGCCATGGCCTTGATGAATCTTGATTGATCAGTCAAAAGGATAGACATACTAAATTATTGTCATGAGCTTTACTTTTTTGGTCGTGTGTGTGAAAAGCTTCTCTACGGTGTGCTGTTCACATGTGAGCAGGCCATTTCTTTCTATGTGCTGTTCATGCGCGAATTGATCTATTTTCCCAAGTGCGGAAACATTGGGAGTTGGGATGAGTTGTTGTTGGAGAGCTTTCTTTTCATCCTGCCAAAAAACCAAGGTTGGGAGTGGGTTTTGGGAACTATTGGAGATGCTCTGATAGGGAGTAGCGGTCATCATCTTCGCTACTCCTTACGGATGGATGGAATATGGATACTTCTCCTGATGCGCTGCAGTGGTGATCTCGTTCCCTTGACAGTTGCCTCTGAGACATTTAACTTTTTGCCATCTTCTCTCCTTCACCCCTGCCTTTTCTTCTCCCCTTCCCTGTTCCTGTGGTTTTCCTGTGAAAATGAACTGATTCCTGTGAAATTCCTGCATTCCAAACAGGCCTTTAGTTGTCAATTAGAGTGTTGTGTGGTGCCCTGCTAAGGGCCGCTTTGGGATGTGGGATTTTTCCTGAATCCTGTGTTTTTCCTGTGAATTTGGACTGATTCGTTTGAGTTCTCCTTTGGGACGCAGGAACTTGACATGAATCGTACAGGAATTTTGCAGGAATCAGTTCTTTTTCACAGGAGAAACATAGGATTTTCAGAAGAAAAAAAACCCCTCTCATTCCAAAGGGGGCCTGAAATTCCTGTAAGATTCTTCTGAAATTCCTACGCTTCAAAGAGGCCCTATTTTAGTCTGATAATGCAAGCAAGCTAGGATTACTTCTCAATATAATAAGGAAAGGAAAATCAATCTTCATCTGTATTGGTCTCGACTTCCAACTGTGTCCCTCTTGGACCTGTGCTTCTTGGTGCCATCCTTCCTGCTCCATGTTGGCTTTCATGAAGCAAACAGCTGGGGATGCTTGCAGCAGCAGAGGATTGGGAACCATGGACTGGGTTTGCTGTGGCTTCTGGTTGGGGTTTGATTAGGCAACGAGGGATCTACCTTGTGATTGGTGGATTTTTTTTTATTGTTTGATTTTAATTTTATATCCTCCTTTGCCTGCCTCCCTCCCTCCATCCCTCCCTCCCTTGTGTGTATGCATGCAATGTGTGACTTTTCACATGCATGCATGCCCTTGAGGATTTGAGGATGCCATGTGTAAATGGTGTTGGATCTACAGCCCTGTTTGGCAAAGCTCTAGTTCCTTTTTTTTTTGGGGAACCGGTCATCTAGCTCCAGAAATACTTTTACTATGTATCTAGACATAGTGTATATCTAACTATCTAAGTGCACGTAAAAGCTGTGTATCTAGAAAAGCCAAAACGTCTTACAATTTGGATTGGAGGGAGTATACTACTATAGCTATTCAGCATACAACATCAATCTGAGCTGATACCCTTAGGAATTGGTTCTAATCTGGTGCTGATGGTGATGATGACCACAGTTATGTTGGCACTGGTCCATCCACCTAGCCAGTAGCCACCTGGGACGTCCACTTATCTGAGGCCTCTCTTTCTTTGCCGTGACACATTGGCATGGAGACTCTCTTGATCAGCTGCCAGTCGGTCAGTGGCAGCATCAAGGGGTGGGAACTGATTGGTGGTTCATCCGGGCTATGGTTGGTGGATTGGGCTGCCATCGTGATGGTCTGGAGAACATATGGGGAAATCTTCAGTGTGAGTTTTGGGGTGTTTGTAAGGGTTCGTTCTCCTTTTTCTTCGTAATGTAATGATACACATCTCTCCTGGATGTTCTAGAAAAAAAGGGGGAAATCTGTGTTCCAAACAGGCCCTAAACTATATCCTCTCGTCTCCTCTCCCACCATTCTTTTTGCACACATGTAGTACATGTCTTACTTTTTTCTGGTGTTTATATATACAAAAAGACTGGTTTATATCAGATGCTTTATGACTTCCTTTTTTGTTTGTACTACTCTTGAGTGGCTATGATGATTGAACTTTCCATTAGAGAGCTTCTGCACTGTAGCATTTTCGGAGCTGATCCCTGGGATATTCTATTCTGCTTGTTGCTTAACTAGGATGGCTTGTACCTTGCTTCTTCCGTCCCAAGAAAATGCATCTGTCTATGCACCTGGACAAGCATCCTTTTTGGGTAGTAGTAGCAACAAGTAACCAGTTATGTGGCCATGAAAGAGAGACACAGAGAGCAGGGGAGATTACATTGTGCTTCCACTACAAATTGCAGTTGCAATCCTGATAATGTTTAAATCTGGAATCTGAGCCACTGAAATGACTTTTTTTTGTCCTAGTCCCCCCCCAAAAAAAAAAAAAAACAGCAGTTTATGAAGGCTGGTTTTTGCCGCTGTTGCAGCTAATATGCTCTTTGAATTGGTTAAAAGTTTTATTCTGCTTTGTGCTCTTATCTACTCGTTCTTTTGTGCTATTTTGCATGTCCTGTTGATGCTGTACCCTGATCTAGGGCTGTGTTCTTCACTTGCCTTGCAGCTGGATTTTAACATGAGATAATGTTAGTAGGACTAATATGCCAAGTCAGTTCCATATCATAAGTTCCTACCTGAGTGCCCTAAATTACGAATAAGTAAAATTCCAATGTGGGGCAATGATCAATAACCAAGGCTGACATATGTACCTTTGAGCAATCAAGGCTGCTATGGGTACCAAACTGGAGTCCTCGCTTTCCTCTCTTGGAAACCTCTTTGCTAGAGTTGTGATTTCATCATCAGGCTAACCCTAGAAGGGTAGCAATGTATATTGGTCATACATTCATGGGCATGGTCATCCCATTCTTCATGGGTGATAACCGGACATGGGCAGCTCCGCTTGTCAGAACAAGCCACCAATGATGTTGAGGTGAGCGAAAGAGATGATGGGGCCCTTGGTGAAGATGAACCGGGAGGTGGTCGGACGTGGAGGCAAAGGCAACCCGATCACGGACAAAGTGAGGTCGATCTCCACCTGCAAGCCCCGCTCTACCCAGCTTGACACACGTGGCAAGCTAGCCAGAGGTCGTGGGAACCGCCGTGGCGTTTTCATCGGAGTCTTGCAGGTGCCCTTCGGTACCCCTCCTCGGTATGACCACCTTCGTGTCTTCGGGTGTGCGTGTTACCCTAACACCACTGCCACCGCTCTGATACCATGCTAGAGTTGTGATTTCATCATCAGGCTAACCCTAGAAGGGTAGCAATGTATATTGGTCATACATGGGCCTCATGGGCCTAATACACATACTCTCATACTCCAACACTCTTCAATTATGTTCTAATGATAATGGCGTTGTCATTGCATGGTCATGCCATTCTTCATGGGTGATAACCAGGGCAGCTCCGCTTGTCAGAACAAGTTGATCTAGTGATAAGAGATGATGGGGATACAGTAAGATGAATGAGCAAAGGCAAAGCTGAGCCTCCCCCTTGCCCACCCACCAAATGTTTTCAAGGCGTCGCTTAATTGACGCTTAGGCGTCGCTTAAGCGCCAAGTCGCGCACGCATGACGCCATAGCAGACGACTCGCCTTAGATTCCACACCAGTGAGCGGGAGAGCGGGAGAGAGCGGCCGCGCTGGAGATTCCACACCCGTGAGCGGGAGAGCGGGAGGGGAACAAGAAGCCGCAGCTTGCCCGTGCCGACACGTTCTCCTGCGCCGACGGGAGAAGTTGCCGCCCGCCCGCCGCCGAGCCGTGCGGCCGCCTGTGCGGGCTGCGGCCATCTTCCCCAATCGGCGCTGGGCCTACAACAGAGACTGACCTACATCTTGCTCCTTCTCCTTTCTTTTTCATTTTTTCCTTTTCGTTTTTCTTCATCATCTACTGCTCTAAGCTGCTTTTTTAAGTTTTCCTTAAGCTGTTAAGGCGTCGCCTCACCTCACGCCTTAGGCGCTTAAGCGTAAGGCGGTAGTCAGTCGCCATGCCTCGCCTTACCGCCTTGAAAACATTGCACCCCCATACACACACCCCAAAAGAAAAAAGAAGATAACACTGACGTTATGTGATTTCCTTCACATTTTAGGTGAATATATATTGTTGCTTCATGTTTTCTTGTGTAACATGCATATTTTCTAACTTAATTTCTTTGTTGCATTTTTGTCTAACTCCATGCAATTACTACCTTTGGCTATCGCCACTATTTTAGCTGTGCAGGGTGTGGCATTGATCCATTTTGGTAGTTCCTATGCATCCCTTTGTTTTTTTCTGATATTTTTTTTTGTTGCTTGTCTGTTGATCTTCCTTTCTTGTTTGGAACTGTTCTTCAGTGGCTGTGATGATCAAATGCCCCAGCCTTTGTAACATCCTGAACTGTTAGCATTGGTATTTTGCTCAATTTGCTGCTAAACTAGGATGGCTTTTAGCATAACAAGTAACCAGTTTGCAACTAATTGTTGTCATTGCTGCTGTGGTGGTGGTGTACTATATATATTGTACATATTTGAATGAATGATCCTCCTTAAAAGTTCAATGAGAGGGAGGGAAATCTGAGCCATTAAGTACTTCGACAAGTATTTTGTTCTGTCATATTGGTTATGATTATCTTTCCTTAATGCTACCCTGCCTTTCTAGTGATTTCAAGTTTTCAACTTGGGACCAGGATCATGGTACTTATGGGACCAACATGTCAATTGGATTTGCTGTCACCTAAGATTCGTGACCTACTAAATGTAGTAGATTTGATGCTTTTGAACCTAAAGATTAGACACTAATTGCCAAATACTTGGCAAAATCCAAAAAAATTTGGATCTAAACGGGGCCTAAGATTCGTGACCTGGGTAGATTTGATGCAAAGATTCCTTGTTTTTTTGGTTGGGAAGCCCAAGCTTACTTGGATAAATTGCTCATTTAGTCATTTTGTTCTAAAGAATGTTTTCTTTTCCCACAAACTCATATTTAACTACTTACATTCTTCCAACAATACTTTGGGCAGGCAGTGCTGGTGTTAGTGGTCCTTATTGCGTGCCATGACCTTTGGTCAAGTAAAAGGACAGACACGCTAAATTAATATCATGAGTGTGGCTGTACTTGTCTGATCATGTGTGTGAAATCTTCTCGATGTGTGTGCAGTTCACATGGAAGCAGGCCATTTCTTTCCATGTGCAGCATAGCCTGCATGTTCAGGTCATGGCTCGCAATTTGGGCCGCAAAGGCTAAGATTAATTAGGAGTCACTATCAGAACTCCGCCCTCTGAGTCTGACTGCTGCCGCTTGTTGCTTCTCTGACTGATTCTACCACAGAGCTCTCAAGAAGCTGTCGCCTTGCATCCTTCTCAGGTAACCATCACTGATGGTCGCTTCTCTCCTGGTTTTCTAATTGATCTGAGCTGCTGAGTTTTGCCTCCATGAGATGAGCTATCTATCTAGCTAAAAGTTCTAGAAGATATGTTTCTGAGACTATCCAGAGCAATATCTAATATGTAGCAGTTCTAATTTATGTGTTCAGTGCGATAACATTAGGATCAGGGTCCGGGGTGATGTGATTTATGCAGGGTTTTCAAATTGTTTGCTCCATGTTTATTTGATTGGATGTATCTGAGGAATTACAGAATTTTAAACATTGTCTGGATATAAGCTCCACAAGTTCATTAATAGGTGTAAAAACTCTCGATGGAAGCTCTAGAACTGTTCATTTAGGTGGAAAAACTAATCTAAAATAACAGACGACGATAAGTGCATTTCTTTTCTCTCTTACATTTCATTGATAAATATACATTATCGAAAGCTACGCCCTAAATGCTAATTAATATGTAGGAAAAATAGTCTAAACCAACAACTGTTCTTAGTGCAATGACATAGTGTAGCCTGGCATTTCAGATTGCATGAAAACGTGGTGTGGCACTGCATAAACAAATATGTTACCTGGTCAGTTAAAATTTGCTGTTGGATCTTGGAATACCTGCATCAATATTGAACATTGAAGGTCTGCAGTCCTGCTTGCAGTTTGACTAGTTTTAGATAGTTGTAATTTCATCTTAAAATTTAAATGAATCTGAGTGGGTGAGGTTTGCCTGTGTTTGAGGGATCTTTTACTGTTCCTAAAGTGGGAGGCTGTTCCTTGGATGAAATGATCCATCAAACAGTATAAATGTTTTAAAAGATTTATTTAAAAAAAATCTTAATTGTAAACATTTGTTTGTTTCTGTAGTTATCTGATGTAGCAGCTCTAGTTTCTATTCAGAGTGAGAATGTGGGGAGCAAGGGAAGTGAGTGATGTGTGATATATTGGAGAGTCTACGAATGATTTGTAGCATTACTATGTAAATTTCACTCTGAACAGCCTGCTTCGGCTGTTTCCAAGTACTTGTATTGATATAGTGTATTCTTTTATGAAAGTAAAGGCTTGTAGCAGTAACAGAGTTTCCTATTATTGGAGTTCGGCAACATTATATACATATCTTTTGAACTTAAAGAGAGCTGTTACCAGTCTTTTTACTTGATGACATATAAACAAGGTTTAACTGCAAAACTCATATTGTTCTGAATCTTACAAACTATTATCAGCCAGCCTATCAAATGCCTCAGCAATGAAAGAGTAAATCTTGCAAGCTTATATTTATAAATGCTATAGCTGTTTCGTCCATCACGGATTTCTTTATAAAGCTCTCACAATCTAAATCTCTGGTAGTTGATGTTTGGATGTTTCAGTTTCAGAAATGGAGTGCTAATTGGCTAGGGACCCACGAGGTTGTGGTGTCTTACCAATCAGAGATCTATTTCTCTGTTATGATAATTTTATTATGCTAATTCTGTAATTCAAAATTATGAGATTTTGGTGATGACTGGACAAATTTGAGCCAATTCTGTAATTCATAATTCATAGTTTGAGAAGGCATTCTGCACATTTTGTACAGATTATTTTGACGAAGGAAATGTTGTACACTATGGATTTGATAAAAAATGATGCTTTCTAAGCTATAGTTCGTTTTGGATTGTCCTAATTCAATCTTATTTTTAACTTTGATCAAGTTTGTAGAAGAAAGTTATAACAATTCTTATCTTAATATTATAGTGTTAAAATAACTTACCAGGTTTCGCAATAATACATTTGCTAAGTTCTATGTTCATATGGTGATCTATCTTAAACCCAATGTTTCATATAGTGATCTATCTTAAACCGATGAATGCTATTATCATCTAATAGTCCCAAAATTAATATTGGTTCATAATGATTTAGCTAGATATAAATAATTAGCTAAATCGATAAAAACTGCAAAAAATTATAATATCTGATTTTGATTCGGTTGTGAAACAAGATTCCTATATAAAGATTCCATATACACTATTATTATGTAATAGCCAAATTAAAAATCATCAGAGAGATTTTTTTAGTTTTTATGAGCAGGGAAGGAAATATTAGTATATTAAATAAAATGTAGAAAAACATATCATGAGAACTGAAATTGTGACTAAAATAGTAAATCGATGGCCATATCACATGCAAAAATCAGGATAATAATCATGCAAAAGAGTCTTTAATTACAGTTTTTGTAAAACGAGGATGGTGGTTGAGGGCTTGAGGCCACTGGATGAAAAGAGCATCTTCAAGAGTTTGCTATCTTAACTTGGCATCCATATAATTTTGGCAAAACAAGAAAAAATAGCTTCCAACAGTTTGGTAAAACAACTTGGAGCAAATCTTCCATCCACAAGACGCAAATATATCTTGCAGCGATGGTTGCATCCAAGGGCTCTTTCGCTCTTTAGCGGGGCTCTTCGTTCGCTTAGCGAGCCTCTTTGTTTTGTTAACGGGTTTTTTTATTTTACCAAGTCAAAAATGCCAGACTCTTAGAGATGGATTGTTTTTTTACTTGGCATATAATTTTGGGAGTTAGCAAATCACAAGATTTGCCAAATAAAATTTAACAAACTCTCGAAGATGCTCTAAGAAATCTGTTTCTAGATGTGTGTCGTCTTCTAATGTGAGCTATGGGTCAAAACCCTCTGGGAGTGGGATGAAACACAACCCTCCAATTGTGTTGCCGTAGTCGTCGATGAAAGCCTCAACGGAAAGCAATCAAGCTTGCAAGTACAATTGTACACACAGGCCCGCGCCGCGGCGGCCGTCTGCAGCTTGACCAACAGTCGCGTGAGGCAAAACAAGCACACGCCGCCCGGCCGCCCGGCCAATGAGCTACGGCTACGACGACGAGGAGGCGACGGGCACGGCTTCGAAGAGCTTGGCGAAGTAGAACTGCGTGGAGATGAAGCCGCGGTTGGCGACGCGCCATCCGGCCTGGCGGAGCGCGTCCTCGATGTCGGCCTCGGCGTGCAGGTAGGCGCGCGTGGCCTTGGACGGGCCCGGGAACAGCTCGCCGACGCGCTTGAGGATGTCGAAGTAGAGCGTCCTGGGCGCGAAGCTGATGAGCAGCCGCTTGTCCGCCAGCGACGCGAGGTGGCGGATCATGGCGCGCGCCTCCTCCCGCGGGTAGTGGATGAGCACGTCCAGGCACACCACCACGTCGTACCGCCCCTCCAGGCTCTCCAGGTCGCGGACCTCGAACCGTGGCATCCGGAACGTCGACCCCGGCGCCGTCGCCTGCGCCAGCGCCGCCTGCCGCTGCGCCTCCGACACCATGGCCGCCGAGATGTCGGAGGCCAGGACGTCGGCGCCATCGGCCGCGAGCGGGATGGCCAGCGACCCCGTCCCGCACCCGGCGTCGCACACCGTGGCGCCCGACAGCTCCAGCGGGGAGTCGCGCAGCATGGACAGCGCCGCCGCCACCGTCTGCGCGTGGCCCTCGCGGATGTCCAGCTGCACGCGGTTCACGCCCTCCGTCGCCGACCCGTAGATCTTGCGCCACCGCTCGAACCCCGTCGAGTTGAAGTAGGCGCGGACGGCCTCCTTGTCCCCACCGCCCGCCGCCTCGGCCTGCGCGCGCCGCCGGCGCTCCGGGTCGGACAGAGACACCGCCGCCGCCAGCGCGGCCGCCGCGGCGGCCGCGGCCGGGAGGGATAGCTCCGAGAGGTCCGCGGCCGTCGGCAGCGCCGCCGCGGTGGTGGCGGGCGCCTTGCGCTGCTGGGGGCGGAGGAGGAGGACGTTCGGCTGCGTGTTGTGGAGGAGGGAAGGCCGTGGTGGAAGGGAGTGGAGGCGGGAGAGCGGCGCGGTGGAGACGCCGGCGCGCGCCATGACCGGACCGGAATGAGCACTGAGCAGTGGAGTTTCTCGACACGGGTGGTTCGCGGGTGATGATGGGGTTGGGATTTTGGGATAGGGTTTTTCCGGATTGCCCCTCGTGTGTCTGGAGATTTGCCCAGATTTTCTGCGTGAGCGTGTGGTCGAGGGGGCTATTGGGATAGGGGATTTGTGGAGGGTTATTACTGTGCCTTTTTCTTTTGTGATGAAAGCGAACCTAATTTTGCTTGGTTTCAGCTACGTTGGGCTAAAATACGCTACCATCGCGGCCCAACACAGCCCGCTATTGCTTGCTTGTAGTTACATACAGGTCCATTTCACCTCTTAATTCCAGTCTCCGTCCAATTCTTTTTCTCGTCTTATATAACCCGAAAACCACAAATGTTACCCTGGAACTGTATCAACCTTGCAAATCACACTGCCACATGTGTCATATCATCTGAAACCACCCTGGAAACCACGTGAAGGTATAATTAATTTTCATATAATCTCTCCATTGCAAAATGTATGTCGTTTTAGTTTTGTTTTAAGCCAAAATTTTGTTTGAACTGTGATCAAAGTTTATTAAAAAAATACATCAATATTCACAATATCAAATTAGTTTCGTTAGATAACCATAACATATGTTTTTTTTAAAACTTAGGCTCTTAGGCCACTTAATTTACTTACGGCTCAGCAAGATCGCGAGCCACCAAATTTTGTACAAATAGAGGGATTGTGTACTCTCAAATCTTGAAGACCCAACACACCAGCTCATACCTAAACCGGCTATTTCGTGCGCAGACGAATTACAAACTCGAGGAACATGTAGACACTCGAAATGAAAGAAATTCTCCCAAATCAACTAGCGAATATCCTAGAAAATAATTCCTGCTGGCGCGTGGTCCATCTCCGGCGGCTTGCACTCCCTTATGTAACAGCATAGAATCTGTCTCCAGCTACACCCTGTTAGAAGATAAGGTTAGTTCGGTTGTTAGCGTGAGCCAAGGAGCCCAACGTGTAGAGGGGGGAGGGGGTTCCTAGCTTGTAGATGAAGGTTGTTTGGATAGGCTCTATCTTGAGTTTGTTGTAATCTCATGCTTGATGTACAAGCCACGTCGAGGGCTGTTCTCGGCTCAATATAACACGCAACCGAGATCCCTAGGAGGCTATCTCATTCCCTCATTTCTCACATGGTATCATAGCGTCTTCCCTAGCGGAACTCAAACATGGCGCTCCCATCCTCCTCCGCGGCGTTTGCTGCTATTTCTCCTCTCAGTTTCCTCCATGTTACCGAGAAGCTCACTAGGAACAATCATCCAATGTGGAAGGCGCAAGTCATGTCTGCGCTGAAGGGTGCTGAAGTGGTGAACTTCATCGACCCGATGGTGCAGCTGCCGGCGCGGTTCTTGCCACCCAAGGAGGACAAGAAGGATGAGCCGCCCATGGAGAACCATGAGTTCTGGAAATGGGTGGCCAAGGACCAGCAAGTTCTCAGCTACTTGCCCACGTCGCTTTCTAGCGAGATCGGCTCGCAGGTTTCATCGGCGATAATTGCATCGGCGACATGGGCCACCATCGAGGGGCTGCACGCTTCTCAATCCTGTGCCTGCGTCATCACCACGAGGATGGCGCTGGCCACTGCGTCCAAGGGATTGTCATCTATAAGTGAGTACTTTACCAAAATGAAATCCCTAGTAGATGAAATGGCGTCGGCTGGATGCAAACTAGAGGATGACGAGCTGATCTCCTACATCCTAACCGGGTTGGATCTTAAATTCAATCCGGTGGTGTCGGTGGTGGCGTCGCGCGTCGAGTCCATCACCGTCAACGAGCTCTACACCCAGCTCGTTGCCTTTGAGCAACGCATGGAGTACCATGGTGGGGGGGGTATCATCCCTCCGCCAATATCGCGGCAAGAGGCGGCCGTGGCAACAGCCCCAACAACAACCGTGGTGGTGGCCGTGGTGGCCACGGCGGCTTTGGCCGTGGCCGCCATGGAGGGCGCGGCGGTGGTCGTCCTCAGGGTGGTGGCTCTCCAGGCGTCATCTACCAGCTGTGCAACAAGGAAGGGCACACCATCGTCGCTACTTCAAGAGGTTTGATGCCTCATTTTTAGGTTCGCCACAGAAGAGTGCCTCCTCAGCAACTAGTTCATACGATGTGGATACGAACTAGTATGTCGACTTCGGTGCTACTGATCATATCACTAGAGACCTCAAGAAACTGACCATCCGTGACAAGTATCACAACGGGGAGCAGGTTCACGCTGCAAACGGGACATGTATGGAGATTGCCAATGTCGGTCATAGCACTTTGCATTCCCCTAATAAAGCTGTCCATCTACATAATATTCTTCATGTCCCACAAGCTAATAAGAACCTTTGCTCCATCAATCATCTTACCAAAGATAATAATGCTTTTCTTGAGTTTCATCCCAACCATTTTTTATCAAGGATCAGGTGACGAGGACCACCCTCCACAGAGGCAGATGTGAAGGGGGGCTCTATCCATTGCGGCCGTCCTCGAATAAATAGGTGCTTGGTGCTATCAAGACATCCGCTTCCTTGTGGCATCACCGACTAGGACGTGCCTCCACTAGCGTAGTCCAGCAAGTTCTGAGTCACCACAAGATTCCTTTTTTCATGATTCGAATAATGATAGGGTATGTGACGCGTGTCAACAAGGCAAGAGTCATCAATTGCCTTACCCTAGGTCGACTAGTGTGTCATCTAGTCCTATGGACCTCGTTTTTTCTGATGTATGGGGGCCTGCCCCAACTTCTATTGGACGCCACAATTATTATGTCAGTTTTATTGATGATCATACCAAATTTGTTTGGCTCTATTTTTTGTGCCATAAATCCTAAGGTTTTCAATGCTTTTGTGATTTCCAAAATCTTGTTGAACGACAATTTGGTCGCAAGAATCATGTTATTCCAACAGATTGGGGGAGAGTATCAAGCCTTGAACTCTTTCTTCCAACACATAGGCATAGAACATCATGTGTCGTGCCCACACGCTCATCAGCAAAATAGTTCAGCAGAACGTAAGCACTGGCATATTGTTGAAATGGGGTTTACTCTTCTTGCTCATTCATCTTTACCATTGAATTTTTGGGATGAAGCTTTTTCTATAGCCGTGTTCCTCATTAATAGATTGCCTTCTAAAGTGATTAACAATGAAACTCCCTATGAGCGTCTTCTTGGTCATCAGCCTGATTATAGCTTCCTTCGCACGTTTGGGTGTGCCATTTGGCCAAATTTACGGCCTTACAATGCTAGGAAGCTACAATTTTGATCAAAACAATGTGTGTTCCATGGGTATAGCAACCTACACAAAGGCTTCAAGTGCCTTGATCCAAAAGAAGGGCGGGTCTACATCTCACAGGATGTTGTTTTTGATGAACATGTTTTCCCGTTCGCTACTCTTAGTCCAAACGCTGGTGCTCGCCTCTGCTCCGAACTTGCCCTTCTTCCAGATGTTCTACAAAAACCATCATCTAATTTTGGGGATGCAATTTTGCATGATCGACGTTTGTCTTCTCCTGCCTCTACTAATCCTTTGCCAAGTTCTAGCACTATTGGTGGTGATACAGGAACAAACATGGGAGAAAATTGTGAAGCAACGGAGTCCACAGGGCGTTATTTCATGTGCGCCCCACCTAGAGACAGCACGCGCCTTGAAGCAGATCCTCCTGGCGCGATTGCTCCTGATTCTGGCGGCGCAGGCAGATCACCATCGGGATCGGCGCAGGTGACACGCTTGTCTCCACCGTCTGCCCCGCAAGTCGCTGTGCCCAGATCTTCTACGACCACCGCCTCACTGACTCCTTCAGCTACCACACCGCCTGAGCCACAGACAGATCCTAGCGAGGGGGAGACATCGGCTGCTGCTCCTGATCCTGTCGCTGAGATCTTGTCGCCAGGATCTCCTGCGGATGGTGTGCCTGGTGCTGATCCTGTGGCCACCGAGTTGCAACAGCCTACAACATGACTCCAGCAAGGGATTCGCAAACCCAAGACATACACAGATGGGACCGTGCGATGGTGTATGCATACCAGTACACCTACGGAAGAACCTACAACCCTTGATGAGGTTCTTGGTGATCGGAATTGGCTTGCAGCTATGAATAGTGAGCATCAAGTTTTGTTGCGGAACAAGACATGACATCTTGTCCCTCGTCCCAAGGGCAAGAATGTCATAGGGTGTAAATGGGTGTACAAGGTTAAACGGAAGGTTGATGGCACTGTTGATATGTACAAGGCACGTCTTGTGGCAAAGGGTTTCAAACAGCGTTATGGTATTGATTATGAGGATACATTCAGTCCTGTTGTCAAGGTTGCAACTATTCGACTGATACTGTCAATTGCAGTCTCAAGAGGATGGTCTCTTCGTCAACTTGATGTTCAGAACGCATTCCTTCATGGAATCTTGGAGGAAGAAGTCTATATGCAGCAACCCTTGGGATATGCAGACAAAGCACATCCAAACTATGTTTGCAAATTGGACAAAACACTGTATGGATTAAAACAGGCACCGTGGGCGTGGTATGCAAGGTTGTGCAAGAGATTGGAGTCTCTCGGCTTTGTTCCATCTAAAGCTGACACCTCTCTTTTCTTCTACAACCGCGGGAGGTATAGTTTGTTTGTGTTGGTTTATGTTGACGACATTATTGTTGCCAGCTCCTCGAAAGAAGCAACAAAAGCATTACTCCAAGATCTACAACAGGATTTTGTGCTAAAAGACTTGGGGGATCTACATTATTTTCTAGGGATTGAAGTTAAGAAAGCATCAGATGGTTTGGTACTTTCACAAGGGAGACATGCTGCGGATATCCTTACCCGGTCAGGTATGGACAAGGCAAAGATTGTTAATACTCCATTGCCCACGTCTAAGAAGCTTAGCCTTGCTGATGGTGATAAGCTTGGACTGGAGGATGCTACACGCTATAGAAGCCTGGTTGGAGCATTGCAGTATCTAACGCTTATGCAGCCGGATATATCCTTTGCTGTTAACAAAGTGTGCCAATTTCTTCATGCTCCAACTACGGTCCATTGGAGCGCCGTGAAAAGGATCCTGAGATATGTTCGTGGGACTATTGATTTTGGTCTTAAGATTGGAAAGTTTAACTCCATGATGGCCGGTGCTCTTTCATATGCAGATTGGGCATGCTGTGTAGATGATCAAAGATCTACTGGAGGCTTTGTTGTTTTTCTTGGAGGTAATCTGGTTTCTTGGACGGCTAGGAAGCAAGCCACGGTATCTCGATCTAGTACAGAAGCGAAATATAAGGCACTAGCCAATGCTACAGCTGAGATGATGTGGGTTCAGAAGTTGTTGATAGAACTACGCATTCCTCAACCTCCTGTAGCTCGGTTGTGGTGTGACAATTTAGGTGCTAAAATCTCTCTGCAAATCCGGTGTTTCATGCCAGGACAAAACATATAGAAATTGATTTCCACTTTGTCAGAGAGAGAGAGAGAGAGAGTAGCTCAGAAATTGTTGGATATACGGTTTATTAACTCTCGGTGATCAGTTGGTTGATGGTTTCACTAAGGCAATTACAGTTGCAAAGATGAAACAATTTAGAGTCAATCTTAACCTTGTTAGTGGCTAAGATTGAGAGGGAGTGTTAAATGATAAGGTTAGTTCGGTTGTTAGCGTGAGCCAAGGAGCCCAATGTGTAGAGGGGGGGTTCCTAGCTTGTAGATGAAGGTTGTTTGGATAGGCTCTATCTTGAGTTTGTTGTAATCTCATGTTTGATGTATAAGCCACGGCGGGGGCTGTTCCCGGCTCAATATAACACGCAACCGAGATCCCTAGGAGGGTATCTCGTTCCCTCATTTCTCACACACCCTCGGGATGCCATGAAACACTACAACTTCGATCACCTTCCAACACGCTACGACCTCTGCCATCAAAGCATCATGGAGGTCTTCCAGTTTTTCCGGCCCTGCTAGACTGCATCTCCTTTTTTTTGACCGAATCAGCAGGGGAGTCCCATACCTATATTTTTTTTTTCTTTTCAATTAAATGAAAGAATACAGTCTGGTGTTTACAGCAGCTAAGAAAGAAAAGAAGTACAAGGCAGTTGGGCCCAAAATAAAAATGGAAAATACATCAAGTATAGCAATCTCTCCATAATCTAAGCTGAGGTTGCCTTGCATGTAATGCATCTCCTCAATGACCACGTATAATGAAGCCCCAGCACCCCATCGTGGAAGCTGGTATGAATGCTCCATCTATGTTGATCTTCAGCAAGCCATCTGCATCTGGCGGTGGCGACCATCCACACCTCCCTACTATCGGATTACTCACCGACTCACCTCTCCGACATGCCTCCGTAGCCATATACCGAACAAAGCTCGTGATTTCGGATGCCAACAGTAGTTTCTCCCCTACATTCGCTGCATTCCGCACATTCCACCATTTCCGGATAGTGTATTGTTTGGTCTTATAGATGTTTTGGAAGCTTAGAGTTACAATGTGACTGGGCCTGCGAAGGGCCCAAAGGGACCTTTCAAGAGTTTCCATGGACTGGGCTCCATTTAGAATGCTGAGATCTCGATAGCAGAACGCTGGGCTGTGAAGCGAGAATTAGAGATAGCATGGACGTTTTGGGCAGAAAAAGTCCATTTTACCTCTCTCAGCTATCGCGAAAGTCAGTTTTTTCTTCCTCAACTCTAAAACCAGAAATAGTTCCTCCTTCATCTCTCAAAACCGGTCAGTTGACCTCCATGGTTGTTTCCCAGGGTGGTTATTCTTCTTTCATTTATGTTTATTTTGGCTAAATCCTTGAAAAACCATAGTAAATTAAAAAAGTCATAAAATGGAAAATCCAATTGTGTTGAACTCCACATGATTAGTACCTGTTTAGTTCCCAAAATTTTGCAAAATTTTTCAAGATTCCCCATCACATCTTGCATGCAAAAGCATTAAATATAAAAAAAAAAAAAAAACTTATTAACAGTTTGGAAATTCAAACTTAATCTTTTAAGCATAATTAGACTATGATTGGACACTAATTGCCAAATAACAACGAAAGTGCTACAATACCATTTTCCAAAAATTTTCGCCAACTAAACAAGGCCTTAGAGAACATATGATATACTATGCTTTAGCACAAAGTTTTTGCTGTAACTTTAGATATATGTTTTTTCTGTAATTAATTCATAGCCGTGGTTTCTCTGGTTCAATTGTGGTGAAATTTTTATGGTGGGTTAATCATTACATGCTTGAGTTGTAGTAAAAAATTTATGCTCATCGGATCATAGATGATTGAGTTATAGATTTATCTATGTTTATGTTTGTTAAATAGTTTTAAAATGAAATTAAATCTATAACTCAGTCATACATGATCCAATGAGTATGAAATTTTTGTTGGACTCCACATGAATAGATCTATATAGTAAATATATGATATGGTATATTTTACTATAAAGTTTTTGTTGTAGCTTTACATCTAAGCTTTTCTGTAATTAATTCATAGCTGTAGTTTTAGTTGTTGTATTATGGTGAAAATTTTATGTTGGACTAATCATCGAATGTTTGAGATGTAACAAAAATTTCATGCTCATTGGATTACGTATGATTGAGTTATAGTTTTATCTAGATAAACCTAGATAAATCTATAAGTCAGTCATATAATCCAATGAGCATGAATTTTTTCTACAGCTCAAAAACTTTGTTCTAAAGCATACCATATTATATGTTCACTGTGTAGATCTACTCATGTAGAGTCCAATAAAATTAGATTTTTTATTTTATGATTTTTCTGTGAATTACTATGATTTTTCAAAGATTCAGTCGAAATAAACATAAAAGAAAAAAAAGAAAAACCACCAAGGAAACAGCCATGGAGATCAAGTGATCGGTTTTGGGAGATGAGTGAGGAATTATTTCTGGTTTGAGTTGAGGGAGGAAAAACTGACTTTTGCGATAGTGGAGGTAAAATAAATTTTTTCCTTGTTGGGCAGAAAATTGCCTGTTCGGCTGTTCCCATGTTCAATAGACTGAAACACTGCAACCACCCATCCAGTTTTGTGCTGAGTTATGCGAGCAAGATTCTGAACGAAAGAAAGATATTCAGAGTCAGAGCTGAGAACGCATCCGCGTGCCATATTTATCTTTCAGCTGGCAGGACCAGCCGACCAGGACTGAACCGAATGGTCGATGTAGATTCCCCCAAAAGAAGTGACGGAGATGTAAGAAGGCATATGCAGATGCAGGGGATGAAATCATGAAGAACAAGGACAGATTGGTGACACAAAAACATATAGATCACCCATCCTAATTAATCCGTATAAGAAGTCTGAATACATGAGTAGTAGTATATGAAGTTAATTGATTCAGACACAGAATTAGGTGTGGTATTGATGAGAAGGAATAATGAGTCCCTTTCGCGCCATTGAACACCGCCATATATGTGCGAAGAGCTAGCAAATGATTCGTTGGTAAGCAAAGCAAAGCACGCAGGTCCCTATCGCGCGAAATGTGGCTGTCACAGCTCATATGAGAGGTGTCAAGTGTCATGGTACACCAGTCCATCTCCTGAATCTCATCTCAAGAGAATCAAACCAACTTCTGCAGCTTACTTTAAATTCTGCTTTGACGACGTCTGCATTTGTATGTCATTACAATTGATGTTTGTCGAGTTGGTGACAAGCTAGCAGCTGATGGCAACCAACTCGTTGCATTGGTCCCAATCAAACCATCAATACAGACAGACTCACTGACTCTTGTATAAGTATACATATATGATCCATTCAGGACACTTTAATTTATACCAGAAAAAGAAAAAGAAAAAAATCGAGCAGGAGAGGAAGAGAGTGTATATATAGGAGAAAGTCTTGGCAGGATACAATCGGTCATCCTACAATTATACGTACATGTTCTTGGATCTTTTGCAGGGTACCACGCATGTTATTGCATCTTGGATCTTTACTGCAGGCCATTACTAATTAGTTAACCTTGCTTGCTTGCCTCCCATAATTAACCTTCATTCATTCAGTCAGTTTGTGCACTGATCACAGTTTATGGACAAAGGATGGATATGCATGGATAAGTATACCAAAACCAGCAGCAAAGTATTTGTGTTGGAATGAACGGAAGGCCTGCCTGAGAAGAACGAAGCAAAGCAAGCAACGCAATGCATAGCTAGTCGGCCCTCCAGATGGCCTCGAGCTCGGCGGCGAAGAGCTTCTCCTGGCCGACGACGATGGTGATGTGGTCCTTGCGGTCGTAGACGGTGACGCGCGCGCGGGGCACCCTGGCCCCCGCGGCCAGCGTGCAGTCGACGGGGAGCAGCTCGTCGTCGCGGCCGTGGAAGAGGGCCACCTTGCACGAGAGCTGGTGCGCCACCACGTCCAGGTACGCGTCCATCCGCCCCGCGCTGCCGCAGATGATGTTGTGCAGCGTGTGCCACGCCGCGTTGTGCGTGTGGCACATGAACGCCTCGATCAGGAACGTCCGCACCCTGCAACGTACACCACGCCGGAGGAGTTAGCAGTCATGGCACGCACGACAGACAGCAGTAACGAGAGGAAGGAGTTGCGCGCGGGCCACGGCGGCGGCCATGACCTGACCCCGGAGTAAACTCGGCTTGCCACATGCACAGCCTTGCCTGGACTGGCCCATGTGTTGGTGCGTGCGTGTGTGCAGGTAGATCTCAGTCAGAGTGAGTGGCAACTAGGAGTAAGAATGATTGATGTGCAGTATGGAGCCCACGCTTTCGCACCCCGGCGCTGCATGTCGTACCTTGCAGGGAAGATGGAACCTTCTCTGCTTCTCCTGCCACTGCCCTGCTGCTCTGCTCAACCTGGGCAGGCGATCGACCATGGCATGCAGTGAGGAGTGCTCTGTCCTGTTCACTGAACTATAGGACAGGACAGGCACTGACTGACCACTAGAGTGTGTTGGTCATTTTTTCCTTCCTTCCTCGGCCGTGCAGTGCCGGCTCCGTCGAAAAGACGAAAAGCCTTTGCGCACGCCGGCCGGTCGTCTCAGGCTCTCAGCGACCGGGCTGTCCGGGCAGGGCTGTAGACGACAAGCGCACGGTGCGTCGGTAGACTCGTGCGACGCCGATCGAAGCCCAGGAGGAGGGAACGGAATAATTGGGGATGGGGTCCGGCGCGGGTTAAGTTAAGACAGGGCCGCCGATTCAGCTAGGGGTGCCGTCGCCGTCGCCGCCGTGCTGGGCTGTCTGCCGCCCGTTCCGCGCTGGTCAGGGAGCGAGGACACATACATATCGCTATCAGTGTGTACCGCTGTCATGTAAATCATCCACCGGCTTATATTAGCTTGCCAACTAGTGCTTGTCCTGGCTACGTACTACTGCTGCAAAGTACACTTGTGCAGGCTTGACAAAAAAAAAGGCTAGAGGATACCACTGATAGCGTGTAACCGTGTAGGATAATTAAGGGCAGCCGATGGTTATGGGCGGATCGATTAGTAGCAAATGGAGCTAGCCGTGACGATGAAGCTACCTACTAACTAGACCCAGGGCCGGACTACGATCGAGGGACACAGGACAAATGATCGATGTTGTTGCCCGGAAAGGAACAGCATTTTCAGGCACCATTGATGGAGGAGACGCATGCAGGCAGGCCGCACAGGTGTGCCGTGGTGGCGTGCCACGTCGACCAGCTCGAGCCTGGCGCGAATTCCGTTGTGACTTGTCAGCGTGGCCGACCACCACCGTGCATGCAGTGTGCGTGTTTTTTCTTCCAGCGAAACGCAAACGAAAAACAGATTCTTTTTCCTTTTTTTTGGCGATTAAAAACAGAAGATTAAGCGAGCAAAGAATTTTAAATAAAAAAGGCTACCTGTTCCTGGTGAAGATCCTGAAGAGGCGGTCCCAGACGCGGTGCTGGCGGCAGATGGTGAGGCAGATGGTGCGGCTCACGTGCTCGTACCAGCACGCCATCGAGCCCCCGAACGCGATCGGCGGCCACACCCGCCGCGGCGCCACGCGGCGCATCACGTACTGCGCCGCCGCGCCTGCGCCCGCCGCCGACACCGACTCCGGCACCGGGAAGTAGGGCTGCACAAGCAGTTGCAGTCACCGGGGTCGAGCAGCAGCTCTCGGTCAGTCAATCAGTCGTCAGCCCCGAGTGAGTGAGAAATCGAATTGAAAGCAGCCGCGCTTTCGGTTGGCTGCGCGCGCGTTGTCGACTACTGTACAACTCACATGACACACAGGTCATCACATCACTCAACTGCCCAGGCGACGCATGTACGTACCGGCGCGAGGAGGGTGAGCGACTTGACGGCGTCGGGGTGCTTGACGGCGAGGGCGAGGGCGAGGACGGAGCCGAGGGAGTGCGCCACCACGTGGAAGGAGCCGAGGCGGTAGCGCCGGAGCACGGAGCGCTCGATCATCTCCACGTGCTCGCGCAGCGTGTACAGCGACTCCGCCGGCTTGGGGCTGCGCCCGAACCCCAGCAGGTCCACCGCGAACATCCGGTAACGGGACCGCGCCGCGGGGCTGAACGCCGGGAACACCGTCTCCGTCCAGAACACGGACGACGAGATGAACCCGTGGATGAACACCACGTCCTCTGTCTCCATCGGTGGTAGCGTCGGCGGTGGAGCCTGGACATGGACGTAGAGGTGGGACGACGACGCCGGGGAGACGCTCCAGGCGTGGCACACCTTGCAGTCGCAGTCGGACCAGCACGGCGCCTGCCGCGGCGGCCGCGGGGGACGGTCCATCTTCCCGCGGATCAGCTCCGCGATGGCGGGGCTGACGGTGAGCGCGGGCGCCGCGTGGATGCCGTTTCTGGAGCCGGTCCGGGTGGCGTCGGCCAGCAGCGACGGCCGCACGTACAGCGTGTCCGACACGTCCTCCAGCTGCAGCTTGGCGGACGACGTCTCCGACGACACACGCACCACCTTGGGCCCCGCGGGCGCGGCGGCGGCGGCGGCGGCGGCCACCTGCACCCCCGGGCCCGCCGCCGACCCCGCAGCCGCGGCGCAGTAGCAGGACTTCCACTCCGCGTCCACCGCGTAGTCCACCAGCTTGTACACCAGGCACAGCACCACGTCCAGCACGTCCAGCGCCGAGAACACTACGAAGCTCACCGCGCAGTTGAGCGCGCACCCGGCCACTCCCAGCGCCGCTACCACCCTCGCGCGCGCCGCTCCCCACTCGCCGCCGCCGGCGTCGGCGCCTTTCCCGCCGCCTCCAACAGCAGCTGCAGCAGCTCCCCCCATGCCGCCGGCCGCCTTCTCTTGCCACACGCAGGTCGCAATGTGCATTGCTCGATCGCCGCTCGCGCGCTCCCCGGCCGGCCTCGATCAGAGTACGTAAAAACCACCGACGCCGGCCACCAGCCGGTGGGCAGCAGCACGGAGCGAGCAACCGACGGCGCGCGGCGGCAGAGTGGGAGGCGAGCCGCGGAGGCAGCAGCAACAACAAGCAGCTGCCTTTTTGTAAGAGGAGAAGAGAAGAGTAACCGACGAGCGATGAGGTGAGACAAGCGGAGGGTTTAACGCGGAAGAAGAAGAAAGGCGCGCATTTAAGCGCGGTTGGAGGCGGGTAGCTTTGGTTTCTTGCGCGACGTCCTTTCTTCTCGCTTCCGTTTGGGTTGAGGGACGTTGGGGCAAAGGGTTGGTTGGGTTAAATAGACGGACTCCACTCTCCGTCGTGGCTCGCTGCTTGGGCGGGCGGGCGGGCGATCGGCGGCGGCTGCCACTGCCACTGCCAGGCCACAGGCCCCACCGCCACCGCCACCGCCACCAGCTGAAAGCTATATGCGCCCAGCGGCAATTAATTTCGTTTTTTCTTTTCCTCGCTCAGGACTCAGCAGGAGGGTTAACGGTTGTTCATCATTTGGGTTTGGAGCAGTGTTCACGTTTCAGACTTGATGACGCAGGAATGTATATGGAGCCACGTGGCTAACGGCCGATGGCCAGGTTTGTTTCGTTTACTCAGAGCCCGCCGGCCGTAAATTCTTCTCGTCACTGTCGAACGGCGGTGTCATGTACCATATCGGTGTCTTTCCCTGTCCTTCTCAGAATGGTAATGGTAAATATGCATCCAAATAGGAGTAGTATATATCTCGGTCTTCTTCACATGTCGACGTGGTATTGACACTGTTACTTTGCGTGGCTGCTGCTTATTTGTTGAACTGGTTCATCTACCCGTGCTCTGGCATGGTCTAGAATTTTATTTGGAGATATATGTATCAATTATTGTTTAATACATATGACGAATAAAGGATTACTTATATTAAATTATATATTTTTCTCTTTGTTTATTTTCTAATATAATAGATATTCTTTTTTTCACGACCGTCCCACTAGTAGGCACATATTTCATTAATAGAAAAAACATAATAGATATTCGTATTATATATCCGATTATCATAAAGTTACTAATAATGTTGTTGTTTTTTGCAAAGGGCTGATCTATAATTTTTTTCACTCATATTCATGTTTTTCCTTTACATAACATCTTTGTGTATTTTAAATGGACAATTAGTTTGAAACCTTACCATTAATTAATTAACTATATTAGTTGACCACTCTAGGCATTAATTTTCATAGTTATTTCTTAACTATTCATCATTGGTTTTGGAGCATTGTTCGCCTTTTTTGACCTAATGATGCATCCACGTGAGTGATAGTTGAATTTATTCAAGACTGTGAAGAATGCCTTGATAAATAATGTGCGCCCAAGTCTCATCTCGATTCCTTTTGCATGTCGTTTAGATCATTAACATGAAAAACATGCATCCAAATCAATATGGTGTCAATAAATACTTCAACCATTACTTTTGATAACTACTTATATTAGTTGAATCTTTAGTTGTTGACTTTCATAGCTACACTCTTCATCCCAAAATAGACCCAGTTCCATTCCCACGGTCGTTCATTGGATCGTAGTTCGGCGAACCATAAGACAGGAGGAGCTCACACGTCTCCACCACACGCTGCATCGCTGCTGCTGCTGCACTGCATGGCATATGTTTTCACCACATGTGACCACTGACGCAAGCTTAAAAAAGCAAAATATTTATTTCAAATTGCTATAACTTCTGAACGGTGCATCCATTTTAAATTCTGTCTGCACCGGTGTGTTCTACGTGATAAGACGAACAAAACTATATCCTGCTTACATATGTCAACATACAACTTATGCGAAAAACTTGCAAACTCAAGAGTTATGAAACATAACTTATTACAAAAAGTTATTAAACACAAAAGAACGAATTAATTTATAACTTATGCCAAAACTTGCAAACACAAAAGTCATTAACACACAAAGGAACGAATTAACTTATAACTTATACCAAAACCTACAAACACAAAAGTTATGAAACACAACTTATATACAAAAGTTATCAAACACAACTTGTGTACATAAGTTATTACGATAAGCTATTTTGTAGAACAAGTCTACATAAGTTATATGTTATAAGATATAGGTTATAAGTTAGTACACATTAGTTAGATACTTTAGCTGTTAATTTTCATATCTACATATTTCATCTGTCGATTCATAACTAGAATGACACTCTTTTTTGGACGGAGGATGTATCTCTTAACGGTTCATCTTTAATAGCTTTTGGATCATTATTTTTCTTTTTAACTACTATATGGTTGGACATGTTCATTTTCTAGAAATGTTTATATTTAGGAATCAATTTGAACCATTCGGATACCCATATATATATTTAGGGATGGAGGAAGCCGCAACAACAAATCATAAACCTCAAAGAAATACGTACGGTTTACCCTTTTAGTCTAGCCTTTCCTACATTTTCTTCCCAAAGTCTAAATTAATTTCATCCTAGACGACCTTGGAATAACCGTCTATCTAATAGCTAAAGATGATAGCAGCAAAAGACCATATCTTAGAACAGATTGAAGCCAAGCCGGCTGACATCAAGTGTTTTCGCTGTTTGGACTATGGCCACCACCAATCCACTTGTAAGTAATAGAGAGCCTGTGTGCTACAAATGCAAACTCAAAGGTCACATGGTTGTTGATTGTGGTAACAACAACAAGAAGATACAATTGTTTAGTTTTGGAATCCCGGGACAAGGCTTCTATGCCATGGAATTTCCTGAAGAACAGATGAAGAAGGAGCAGATAGTTGGTTTGGTGTCTATTTGTGAAGGATTGACTAATGAGGAGAGGTTGAATGAAGAGCTCAAGGATGTGGTTAATGACAAATGGGATTTTCAGCCTAGGAAGATGGACTCTAATGAGTTTCTGGTGGTCTTCCCTGACAAAGGATCCTTGGAAACCTTTTCAAAAATTGAGAGCTTGGAACTATCCAAATATAAGCTGAAGGTGAAGATAACTAAATCTAGCCATGGTCCAAAAATAACTTCAGTGCTCCAAACATGCTGGGTGAAGATCGGAAATGTGCCCCCTAATAGCAAGGGAGGTCTCGGCTATAAAGAGCTGGTTTCTTTGGTTGGCAACCTATAGTTGTGGATGAACTCAGTTTGATAAGGGATGAGCCAGTCAGAGTCAAAGTTAACTGTAGAAACCCTTCAGCTATTAGAGGCGACATAGAAGTTTTCTTCAACAAGGTGGGGCATGAGATTAGATTCACTATGGAGGATGCTACTGGTAAGGGCACTGGTCCTAAAGGGGGTCCTCATGGGCCTAGAAAAAGGATGATGGCCAGGGTAAAAAGGATAAGAAGGGGCCTAATGAACCTAGTGGTAGTGATAAGAAGAAGAGTGATAAATTTGACAGAATGGGTAGACTAGATAGAGAATCCAGCCTTAGTGAGAGCCAGGATGCTATGGAAGAGTCCAATGCTCCCTAGGGAAATTCAATGCAACATACTCAAGGAACTTTACCAATAGTTGGTTACCATCCTAAGGCAGGGCTAGTCCAATTGGCAGATGTTTTGGGTGAGTCTGAAGCAAACCCTATGGAGATTTGGGATGCTACCAATCAATTCTTGCTTGAGGGAGCAAACACTAAAGAACCAATATAGGTTAAACAAGACAATCATGTTGTTCTGTCTCCTCAGGGTGTCACTATCACTGTTACTAAAAAGTTTGTTGTCAATGAGGAACAATCTGTAATTCAGCCGAGAAAGGATGGAGAATTGATACCTTAGTCGGTCATAATTCCTGAAGGATAGATTGTGGCTCATGGAGCTTTAGGCCCCAATCTCATGGATAAAGATAGGTGCCCTAGTCTGCAGTTCTCCCATGGTTCTGAAGCGCATAAACTCGATGAGGATATATGTGATGTCAGGGAAACAGTCATTGATCAGAGTCAGCATGCCTCGAACCTGGTCCATGGTGATGGATTAGAGGGCACAATCAAAACAAATGAAAGGCATAAGATTATCCATATTGACTCAAGCACTGAAGAAGAGCGGCTGACTCAAGAACTTGAGCTTTTGGAAACTGCCTCGGTCCAAAGCTTAAATGACAAGTCTGATGATGAGTCCCAACAACCATGGATTAAGTCACAGAATAAGAAGACTCAGAAAAGAGGTAGAGGAAGAGGGCTCATAGCTACAAGAACAAGCAACTGAGTTCCTAAGGATGGGAGAACTATGCTGGAGAAGGCAACACAGAGGGCCAGTGAAAAGGACGACCTTAACTCAGGTACACATTCTTCTAACCAATTCCTTTTTCTAAGCAATTTAGATAATAACTATATACAAGATGTTGTCTCTAAACTAGATTTAGATGTTTCCAATATTGATGACCAATTGGAGACCTTTAGAGCTGAAGAAGTAGTTAGGGCTACATTAGCTGAAGCCAGTTATAGGGAATACCTAGAGAAAAACAATAAGAAATCGCCCTTCAAGGCGAGGAGGAGATACGAGAGTATAACCTAAGTGCTTTTGATAACTCAGTCAGGGAGATTGAGGACTCAAGCACTTCTGTGTCTATCACTGTGCCCCCAAGGAAGAGGGGGAGACCAAAAAAAAAATCATCATGAGATTTCTCTTCTAGAATGCTAGGGGGCTAGGTAAAGAAAGTATAAGAAGACAAATCTTAGAGTTTGTTAAGGAGCATAAATTATATATCTTGGGTATACAGGAAACCATCAAAGAAAGCTTCACTGATTAGGAGCTCTTAGACCTAGTTGGGGGTAGAGACTTCACCTGAAAGTGAGCACCGCCTAAAGGGAGATCTAGGGGTATACCCATGGGAGTCAACCTCAGCAAGCTAGAATTAGAAGATTATAAGGTCCAGGAGTTCTGCATCTCTATGTCTGTTAGGGATAGAATCTCTAATTTTAGATGGTTAATTGTTATGGTTTATGGACCATCTCAGCATGACAAATCTAGGGATGTTTTATATGAATTAAGTCAGATCTATGAAAAAGCTACCTTGCCCATTATCCTAGGGGGAGATTTTAATCTGATCAGGGAGATCTCTGACAAGAATTCAGATAATCATAATCAGACATTGATGGACAAGTTCAATGACTTCATAGGTGACTATCAACTTAGGGAACTAAAAAGGTCAGGACAGAAGTACACTTGGACAAATAAGCAAGAGAACCTAGTGCTGGTTAATCTGGATAGGGTTTTTTCTCCATGGGGTGGGAGGAAAAATTCCCTCTATCTATCTCTTGGTGTCTTACTATAGTTGGTTCAGACCATGCTCCTATTATAGTGGACAATGGGGAAAGCCTGCCTCTAAGACAAATATATTTTTCTTTGATCAACAATGGCTTATGAGGAAGGAGTTCAAGAAGCTCGTTTCTAACACATGGAAGGATGATGAGTCAAGATGCCCTGAGCTGGGTTATTCTTTGGACTGCTGGCATGGATGCTCTGTCCTGCTCAGAACTAAACTAAAAGGCTAGAACATCAGAAGAATGGGTGACCAGGAAAAAAGAGAAGGCTGTACTCAGGGGTGAGTTACAACAAATAGATGAGGAGGCTAAACGAAGAGAGTTATCTCCTATGAAATGGAGGCACAAATATGACATTGAGAAACAACTAGAAAATATTTGTATGGAGGAGGACATTTTTTGGAGACAGAGAGCGGGGAAACAATGGCTGGCTATGGGGGACTCTAACACAAGATTCTTTCACCAGTTTGCCAATGGTAGGAGAAGGAAAAGTACAATTGTTCAACTAGATACTAACCTTTGGCCGATCACTGATCAACAAGAGATTATGGATCATGTAGTGCGGTTTTATGTCCCTTTTTGGTCCTATTGAGCAAAGATCTATTTTCCTTTCACATCATTTTTGGGATATTAGTAGGAAAGTTAGTGCGAGCCAGATTGATGACCTAATTAAGCCTTTTGCTCTAGAGGAGATCAAACATGCCATGATGGATATGAAGAAGGATTCTGCCTGGGGGCCAAATGGGTTTGGTCCTAGCTTCTTCCACAAATTTTGGGACCTAATAAAGGGCAGCTGGATATCAGGAGGCTCAACTATGGGGTTATAACTCTGGTGCCCAAGATTCACGGAGCCAACACAATAAAACAATATAGATCTATCTGCCTACTGAATGTGGATTACAAGGGTTTTACTAAAGTTTTGATTGAGAGACTCACTCTAGTGGCCAAGGAGGTCATAGGGGAAAACCAAACTGGGTTTATTAAGGACATAAATATTTTAGAGGGGATAGTCATTCTCCATGAAGTGATACATGAGTTGAACAAAAGGAAATAGCAAGGCATGATACTTAAGATTGATTTTGAGAAGGCCTACGACAGGGTTGGATGGGACTTCTTGGAAGAAGTGCTCATTGGAAAAGGGTTTCCTAGCACTTGGGTCAATTGGGCCAAATATGTGTTAATGTGAATGGGACTAGGGGACCTTACTTTAGAACCTTGAGAGGCCTGAGGCAAGGTGACCCGTTATCCCCTCTCTTATTTAACTTGGTGGTGATGCTTTAAGCATGATGTTGGAAAAGGCTGTAGACATGGGGCTAATTGTGGGAGTTCTAAATTCCCTGATTGAGGAAGGGATCTCACATATCCAATATGCAGATGACATAATTCTTATGACTGATGGCTCTGATAAATCTATTACTAACCTCAAGATTCTACTGTATTGTTTTGAGTGGTTATCAGGTCTGAAAATCAACTATCATAAAAGCGAAGTTATCTTGTTTGGCTTTAGTCAAGAAGAGAAAGAGAGGGAGGCCAATATGCTTAATTGTAGATTAGGTGCCTTGCCTATAAAGTATATAGGGATCCCTGTTTTAGATAGTTTCTTAGGTATTCTAGCTTTTAAGGGCCTAGAGAAAATGTTGAAAAGGTTGGATCCCTGGAAAGGGAAATTCATGACTTCAGGGGGAAGTTAATCCTAACTAAGACCTGTCTTAGCAACCTGCCTATGTATGTGATGGGCTTCTACATGTTGCCCAAAGGGGTGCATTCTAAGATGGATACTATTAGATCCAAGTTTTTTGGCAAGGTGCTGATGGTCCCTTCAAGTATCATATGGCTAAGTGGGTGTCCATCAATAAGCCTAAGGTCCATGGTGAACTGGGCATACTCAACACCTTATTGATGAACCAATGTCTAATTTCCAAATGGATTTGGAAAATAGAGAAAGGTTCTAATGTGCTCTGGTATAAAATTCTCCAAGCTAAATGCACGAGGAAAAAGGGGGTTTTCAACTCCAGAAATCAGGGATCGTCCCAATTGTGAAAAGGTTTACATAAAGTCAAACACTTATTTTAGTGGGGGCCTGAATACACTATTAAAAAAGGTGATAGAGTTAGATTCTAGCAGTACTCATGGTTGGGCAATATGCCACTTAGGATTCAGTTTAACAACATTTATGCTATTTGCCAAAAATAGGATGCTCTGGTTAGGGCTATGTGGTCTGAAGGGGATGGGATATCCCTCTCAGGAGATCTTTACATGGAAATTTAATTTTGGAATGGGAAGAGCTATAGGTTTTGCTGCATTATGTCAAGATAGATGATTCCAGTGAAGATCAAGTTAGATGTGATAGAACTGAAAGTACTTCTAGGCATCGATCAATGGGTAATACTTAGCTTAATGGATGACTTGCTAATGTACCTCACCAAAAGGTAGTCATGGTGGTGGCGCCACCAACAAGGTGGCCACGACATGTCGGTGATAAGGTTAGCGACGTGGTAGCGCTCTAGTGGTGTCCTGGCGGTGGTGTGGACGTCCGGCGCTGTCCAGAGGCGGCGGTGAAGGCGATGGCGCTTCCTGTAGCTTATAGTGCGCCCTTCTAGATCGGACTAGGGATAAGAACCTCGGTGGGGCGCTGGCGACTACGGTGAACCTCATACCTCGAGCCCCAGCCCCTACCTCCTATTTATTACACTGCGCGACGAGGGCCCATCAACCAGAAGAACGGCTGGGCGCCCCCGATCAGAGCACGGATCAAGGGCCCAATTGGCCGTTGGGTCAACTTGGTGGAGATCAACCTAATATTCTCCCCCTTGATCTCACTTTATAACTTAAACTTAACTTACTTTATCGTTTTCCCATTCCATCACAGATCAGTGCATAGAGCGTGCCTCATTATCACGGTTAGTTGCCATTAGATTTAACAGCTACAATGCACCTCTTTATTTTGAAACAGATACTCAACTAGGCCCTTAGTATCTAGAAATCATAGGCTTTCCCGTAAACCCATGTCATCTGTGTGTTCTCAGAACGCACTGGGTGGTAAGCCTTTGGTAAGTGGATCCGCAAGTACTTACTCGGTACTTATATGCTCAATGCTTTTAAAATGATTATAGATTTTCTCCTTTACAACATATAACTTAGAGTCAATGTGTTTGGTAGCACACTTGACCTGTTGTCTTAGGAGTTAACTTACTTTAAATGGTTATTGTTGTTGACTACCATTGCTAAATCCTGGTACAAATTCCCTTAACCTCCTTTGCCTGTTCCTTAAGCCTCATGTCAAGCTATACTATGGTATGCATCACTAATGACACCAGAACTGTTTATTTAGAGCTTTTCCATAATAATACTCTAACTACGAGGTTAGCAACTACTATAGATTTCACTACACATCTCGTCAAGACTTAACATTTGTACCCTCAACTATTTTAGAGTACTTGTTCTTTCTTACTCAGCATGAGGCCTATGATATTTTGCAAAATTGCAAGACATTCTCAACTCCATTCTAGTGATCTATATCTGGACTGGACTTCTGCCAAATTATTCTGGATACGTAAACTACGTCAGGTTAAGTTCTTACTTGTACTTGTACACTCATCAAGCTTCCAACAACTGAAGCATATGGAACCATGTTCATTTGATCGATCTCATATCGGTTCCTGGAACACTTAAAGTTTCCAAATCTATTACCCTTGACTATAGGAGTAGGCGTAGGTTTACTCTCATGCATATTTTATTTCTTTAGAATCTTTTCTAAGTATGCCTTTACGATAGTCCTAATACCCTATTTTCTTCTATCTCGGTGAATTTCGATTCCTAGAACCAATGACGCTTCACCAAGATCATTCACATTGAAACTTGAGGACAAAACTTCCTTTTCTCCAATGACAGATTAACATCACTACTAGTGTGTAGAATGTCATCTATTCACAGGATGTGGAAAATGAATTTTCCATTCTTGAACTTCGTATAAACGCTATTGTCCTTCTCATTTTCTTTAAAACCCAAACTTTCTTATTGTTTTCATCAACTTCAAATACTACTGTCTAGAGACTTACTTTTAACCCATAAATGGATTTGTACAGGTGGCGTTCCATACATTCTTTTTCTTTCATGACAAAACCTTTGGGTTGTGCCATGTTAACGTTTTCATACAAATCCCCGTTGAGGAATGTCGCCTTTACATCTATCTGATGTAACTCTAAATCATAATGTGCTAATAACACTATTATGATTCTAAAAGAATCTTTGCATGAGACTAGAGAGAAAACTCTCATTGTAATCTATTCATTCTCTTTGCGTAATGCATTTTACAAAAAGTTGTGTTTTATATCTTTCTACATTGCCTTTGGAGTCATGTTTTGTGTTGTAGACCCTTGTATAGCTTACTATTTTGGCTCCATTAGAAATTTCTTCTAAGTCCCAAACATCGTTGGTATTCATCGAATTCATTTCAACTTTCATAGCTTCTTGCCATTTAAACGAGTAAATGCTTCTCATGGCTTTTTCAAATAAGGTGGGATCACTCTCCATTTGAATTTCTTCACTAACATAGACTTCATAGTCATTAGAAAAAACTGGTTTACTAATTCTTTGAGACCTTTTGGGGCCTCAGCTACTGACACTTTCATATGGGGCTGTTGTTGCTCTTCATTGCCAAGAGGCAATTGATTCTACAGGCTCCTGTATTACAAGATCCTTGTTTACATTATTCATCTTCTTCGAAGAGCTAACAACAGGTGTTGTATTAGTCATACAACATCAACAGATATTGAGAAACTTGTTATTTTTTGAATCATTGAAGTGGGCACGTAGTCCCGCTTCTCTTCAAGTCATAGATCTCTACAAACTATGCTCCCCCAGATCATCCCATCTTCTAAAAAAGATAGTGTACCTTCAAATTTCTTGTTTGGGTTTAATCTGTTAAAACCTCATATGGCGGTTTAAGCACCGCCTTAATATCTTTAAGGCTGACTACGCTATCTTCCTGTCGGAACTTTAAAAGGTCTAG